CGTCCCGGTGCCCGTTACCGGGTGTTCGTGGTTCTCCGCACGCCGTCCCCCCCGGCTGCCGGCCCAGCTCCTGCCCGCTGCTGGTCTGGCCTCGGTCCTGCGGGCTCTGCTCATCGCCGGGGTCAGCGGAGGGAGAGCTTCATAGGCGTGTTTGTAGAAGGCTGCTCCTTTGGGTGATTAGTTTTTGTGGCGTTTTTTCTTTTTTCTCTGAAGTATTACAGGTCAGCAGGCATCCCATTTTCAAAGTTTGGGGGTTTTCCTCCCTTAAAGCCTTAGAAAACTAATGGAGAACTTAAGCCGCTTGCCTCTAGCGCTGCCGGACACTAAGCACTCTAGAAGTTGGGTTTTTTCCAAGTTTTTTCTCTTTTTTTTTTTTTCAAATTTTTCAAACCTAAAATACGTAGTTTCATAAACTTGCACGCATTTTCCTGGTCTTGCCGCTGTGTTTAATCTTTTATGGACTGTAATAGCGATCAGTCCTAACAGTAACTTTCAAAGACATATTTCACAGGTTTTACATGGTGCAGGATATGTTACTTTCAGCTAGTCTTTAGACAAGTCTTTGTAAATCCAGGCTTTGATTTGAAACAGTCACCTTGCATTAAGTTTTTAAAAACAAATGTTTGGCTAGTGAGTTGGGAGGCTGGGAAAAGTGCAAGCTGCTGCTTCCAAAAATACTAGTTTTCAGAGTTTTTTTGACCACGTTTGCTTTCACTTTCAGAAGGTAATTCTTTCAAGCATTTGGAAAAGTAGTCTAGAGGGGCATTTGTATGAGGCTCCACTGTGATCCTTTACAAGAGCCAATGCGAGCAGAGCTTGTGTTAATATAAAGTTACAAATTTGTTGTGGAACGTAGCTATTTTGGTAGTTTGTGTAAAAAGCTCAGGTGAACTTTGCTTGCTCTGAGGTTCACTCAGTGAAAGTGTGGTGTGTGAGCTTGTGAGGGAGACGAGATATTCACCATTAAAGTAATGCTTGTTTTCTATCTCCGGTCGTCTTTCAGTCTACTGAAATAAGTGGTTGTTTCCTCTTTCCCCATATTGCCCATCCTAGTCTTTTTCTCTTTTCCTGGCACACATCTTTGTCTCTGAGCTCAATGAGATTGGAGACTTGATCTGGCAAAAAAAGTGGGCTGTGGGAAGTGTGGGGGTGTTGTTGTTTTTTCCTTTCCATCTGGTTCAACTCCCTGATCTGATTTTCTGCGCAGCTACACAAATAGTTGTGCCAGCCCAGAGCAGCAACTGCTGCGGTGTCAGGAGCTGGTTTTATCAGGTGACAATGTGTTTTCATACTTCACCCTAAGCTTAAGGTGTTCGTGAAAGTTCAGGTTTCAGCTGTTTTTTAATAATCATTGTAAGCCCATCTAACTACAGGCTGCAGCAAAAAGGGACAGTGCTTCCTCATTTTCTTGTTGAAAAGTGGTGTCTCCGGTTCTCGTGCTGGTGTGATTAGTTCACTGATTGGACTGAAAGCTGATTTTGTGTTGGGAGGAAGGGGGTGGAACAGAGGTCAGTTCACAGTCGTTTTCTAGGCCTGTGTAACTTGTAGGACTGTGCAGAATAGGGGCAGGAAGGGTATGCAGCCACCCCTGTCAGCAGTAGTGTCGTTTTAAATTGGCTTGAGGTGGCTGTGAAGCTGCATCCTAAGCTTGCAGTCAACTGTGCTGTTCTGGCTGTGAGTAACCTGTCTGGGTGAAGAAGTGCCTGCCCCTGCCTGTTGGTTTCTCTTGTTGCAGTTGCATTTATACAACAGGGACTACAACCATGTTTTAAACAAATGATCACTTTTTTGCAATTGGATCATTTGGCAGGAACACTTTTGAGCGTAGCTGTGCAAAACTGATGGTGGAGGGAGCAAGACTGAAATAGCTGGGGGTGGGGATCTCTTCTTCTGGATTTGTTTCCAGCGGGATGGGACTGCTGCTGCGGCGTTCAGTGTATCTGGATCGCTTTTACAGGCTAGGTTAGGCTTGTGCAGTTGATTTAACAGATTTGAATAGGTCACAATAAGCTTTTGTGATTGCAGCAGCCTCAACCTTGCTCAGCTGTGTCCCTGTGACTACAACTTAGTGTATACTGTTTACAGGGAAAACGCCTAAGCTGTATACAGAGGTGGAAGTGAATTCACAGAGAGATCCGCATCTGACTGAAAACCAATCTGCAGTGCAGGAGTCTCCAGTGAGAAGTTCTTTGCAGCTGGCTGTCAGAAATCCTACCGTGATGAAGCCACTGAAGAACACCAGAGCTGGTGAGTGGCCCCAGCAGACTGATGAGGAAAATGATGATTTGGGGCTTTTTATTCCATTGGGTAAGCTTTGTGCAAGGAACAGACCTGTGACTTGGTACAGTAGACGCAGAACTCTGGAATTGTGTACACCACAGCAGGGGCTGTTTAGGTGCAAGTTTTTTTAAGTTTTCATCCTGTGCTCCGTAATTCCATGGCTAAATAAACTACAGGTATCCAAGTGAAACTTGCTGGAGCTCTGCAATTTTCAGTTACTAAAAACACTGCTTTTCTTCAGAGGAAGTTAGGATTCTTTTGTTTCCCTGAGTCAGCAAAACAGTGCCACTTGGGAAACACTTTAAGTCCCGGAAGCTGTAATCTGCTCTTGCTGTATGGTGCCTAGAGTTTTGCAACTGTTTTAATCTTGATGGCATACTTAAAACACCTCCTTCTGGAAAAGGCGTAAAAAGGCTGCTGAGACCATTCTGTAAAATCAGTCTGGTAGAGATGGCAAATACATAACCCTTATTTGCTTGACTCACTCAGGTCCTGCAGAATTTGAATCCATTATTCAGAGGACCGTTTCTAGTTCTTATGGCCGTTTCCATTTGGGTGATCTCCTTATCAGCTGTTGGAAAGCTGCTGCCACTTCAGTATCTGCGGAATTCTAGCTTTTTGGTTTTTTAAACTCCTACTGTCAGAATGTGCTGGATGTGAAGTATCTGAATTTTTAGATTCCATTTTTATTAATTTTCAGAGGAGCAAGATGGAGAGGATATTGAGAGAAGGAAGAGGAGGAGGAAGGCAACCAAACGGAAAAGAGAAGGGAAAAGTCAAGAAGAGGAGGGATCGTTGTCTTGTGACATCAAGCTAGATGATACGCTTGATCGCACCTTAGAAGACGGAGCTAAACAACATAACCTGACAGTTGTCAACGTGCGAAACATCCTGCATGTGAGTGCGGTGGGATTATGACAGGGAACAGAGAAGTGCCCAGCTCTTTAAGAAAGTGCAGTCTAGACTTGAGTGTACTGCTAATGGTAGCACTTCATTTCATGAACAAGGAAGACTTGATAGGCACCCATGTCCTAATCTTTCCTATAAAAAGCTATAAAGAGAGAATCATGTGGTGTACGTATAAGTTACCTGGACCTGGCTTTGTTAGTAGGTATTGATCCCTGACTTCCATTTGTTTACAATGGCGAATGGGTCTGTTTTACTGTACTGTAATAGCAGGAGTAATTGAACTGAAATGCATGCTTCTGGTTCCAGGTGAGGAGATACAGACTGTGAATTCACTGTTTCTTGTTTTGAGTGAACTGATTGATGATAGAGTCCTGATGGAGGTGTAGTGGTGCTGGCAAAAATGCATTACTCTTTGTTAATGACCCCAACCAACCTTTTAGTCCATCACACAACTTCCAGTTAGAAAGGAACTGCAAGAAGAATATCTGTGCTGTCACAGCGGTGTAGTGAAACTCTTAATTCTACACCCATATAAGGTGTAGATTTCAGTTTATCCCATGAGCAGGGTCTGGAGAGCAATAGTATTTATTGTCTCACAGGATCAAAAATTGTGCTTTTTTTTCTTTTTGTCTGCAGCTAGTTTTGTTCTAATCCAGGTGATCTCAGATATTTTCCCTTTTTGCCATCCCTGTGGCAAACAAACCGGAGATTGCCGTGATTCTGTCGGGCAGATTCACCAGCTGATTTTGTGCAAGTGCCATAAATTAATGCCTTTCTCTGTCACATGGCACTGGAAGGGCTGTAAATATCGTGCAGTCGCCTACCTTCCCTGGAACCTTGTGGTGGCATTCAGAAAATGTAGTGACGGATACTGGGTCTCCTCTGCCTCCCCTTATTTCTTTTAAATATATACAATGTTTTCTGAAATGATGTAGCACAATGTTTCAAGGAGTAGATTATTACATACTTTCTCTAGAGAATTAGACCTTTGCTGTTTTGGAAGCCTGTGACTGCTTAAGGATTTAAGTTTTCTATTGCAGCTTCATACCAGCATTTCTCATGTGGCTGGGATCGGCACATTTTACTGATTATGTGACACAAGGGAAGGGAAACTGGTGTGGGCTTTTGTTTCGACTATTTTCTTTTCCTCTGCTGGAAATTTATTCCGTAGAGCATTCACAGAGAATGTAGTGCAAATGTTTTTATCACTGCTGTGCTTACTTTGTATTTTCTTGTCCGATCACTGAACAATCTTCTTTTACTGTAGTATAATTACAAAGTATATGGTACACTGAATATTTCTCCATCATTTCCAACTAGTTTATTTTAACCTTAAGTCTGTTTCTTTTTAACAAACAGAATGTAAAGGATACTTTTTTGTGTATTCCTGTAGGAAGTGATCACAAATGAGCATGTGGTTGCCATGATGAAAGCAGCCATCAGTGAGACAGAAGATATACCTTTGTTTGTAAGTAAAAAGCTTTTTCAGTTTGATTTTTCAGCTGTTCCAAATGCATGTTACCTTCACCAGTCTAGCTTCTTGGTCCATGATGTGGTATGGAGAGAATAGGTAGTACCATAATTTACGTTTCATTAACATATTTGCTACCTGAATGAAGTGAGTAGTGTTTGTGTATGAGAGTAAAATATGAAACAGAATTATGAGGGGTTATTTTTGATGTCACTCTGATCATGTGTAAAAGATAATGAATTTAAAAAAAGAGAAAAGTCTTGTAGTAAACAGCTGCTGGGGAAAAGTTTGCAGTTAAGGAAAATAGTTGAATAGGTTGCTGTTGTCTTGTTTTAAACTCTCAGGAGCCCAAAATGACTCGTTCCAAACTGAAAGAAGTTGTGGAGAAAGGAGTGGTAAGTACGTCATCTGCTTTTACCTTTGCACCTTCCCCCTACCTGAATGCTTTTGATTGTTGGGTCTTCTAAAAGAAGTGTAACGTGTGCTTTTATGTGATTTATTCTTAAAATGAAAAAAATAAGTTAAAACTATGTAAAAAAGAATTCATTTTAGATAAGCAGAATAAGAACCAGGTCAGAGTTAGAAAATGCAGTGAATTGACAGTTTCCATTATACTAAAGTTTTTGTCTGTAGAGATCGCATGGGCAGTTTAGAAAGCATTTGTTTGAAATCTGTTGTTACTTGGCTACTTTGGAGAACAAGGCCTCAAGCTCAAGTACTCATTTGATTTAATAGATTGTCTAAGCTGTGCAACACCGTGCTTTTCAGAGACAGTTAAAAAGGTTTTGCTGTCTTTAGGTGATTCCAACATGGAATATTTCTCCAATTAAGAAGGCAAATGAGGTGAAGGTAAGTGAACTGCTGCTGGGAAATCGGAGACCATACTAGAGGCACCCTTCTGAGCAAGGAATCTTTTGGAGGGGTGGAGCAGACTCGTGTCTAGCATGTTGGGAGTATTGGTGACCAGGAGCATTGCAAACAGGGTATGCAAGGCAGGACAAGGCAGTTAATGTAGCAGCAGGTGCACAGAGGGCCCGAAAGAGCTGCCTGCAGGGGAAGACAGAACATGATGAGGTAATGACATGCCATAGAGAGTGGTCTTTTCTTCTGGGTGGTCCAGCTTCCCATGTTGGTACTGCAGCAGCCCCTACCTGGATTGAAACTCCTGATAGCGAATGCCGCTGCCCGGGCCTCATGCTGTGAGGTGCTCCTCCCTGGGACTGTTTTATATGTTTTAGGGCTGCCTGGAAATATGGCCTGGATCTCAATTTTTTTTTTCCTGAGCTCTGCCTGCTCCAAAAGATTTGTTATCTAGGTGTAGGCAGGACTCAGCAGTATAGCAGGAGCGAATGGCCATTCAAGTACTGGAAACATGTCTTTGAGATAGAGTCTGCTCATGCAGTTTCCATCATATAAATGCTAAATCATTTGTGCCTGTTCTTGCACCTTTTCAAACCACTTACTTTGCTTTACCAATCTTACTTTAGTAATTTCTTTGGTTTCTTCAGCCTTTTTCAGTAGCCTCCTTCCTTTCTGAGATTCAGGCTATTTCCTCAGTTAGAAATCTTTGATCTGATAGTGCACCACTAGAGTGCAACTCTTTATCTTGCCTGTAAAAAGTTGTCACCTTTTTTTTGTTCTGTTGCAGCCTCCTCAGTTTGTGGACATTCCTCTTGAGGAAGATGATTCTTCTGATGAAGAATACCAGCCTGATGATGAGGATGAGGATGAGACTGCGGAAGAGGTAAATGCAACTTGTATGAAGATCTGTTCTGTTCAGCGTGGAGTTGTCTGCATGTTTGAGGCAGTAGAATGCTCTCTTTATTTTAACACATGAAAACTTGTAAGTCGTCCCGGACCTTCTAGTAATCTTTCTTCAATGCTATATTATTCATTTGGCTAAAAAAGAGTCTTTGGAATATTAGTTGAAGCAGTGTTTGACTGTGGCATGATTGATTGCATTCTACATCTTTTGCACTATAGAGCTTACTGGAAAGTGATGTAGAGAGCACTGCTTCTTCTCCTCGGGGAGCAAAACGATCTAGGACAAGGCGATCATCTGATGAAGAGGGAGGGACGCTCTGCGAGGTAAACTTGCAAGAGAGTTTTTGCTTTCTTTAGAAACAGCTTTCAGTCATTGTTCCTAAATTATTAATGCAAAAGCAAAAGTACCTATTATTGCTTAAAGTTGTGGTGACATTACAGGTGCTATGTGGATTTGGCATCCCACTGCAATGGTTCCTGCATAAGTAGTGAAGTGCAACCCTTGCAGAAAGAGCTTAGTCTAAAATAAACACGAGTACTTAAAAAAGCACTGGCAATGGAAACAATTGGCTCTTCTTCAGATAATGATTATTTTTCTGATTATTTTTGAGAGGAGTGCAGGAGAACTGCTTTCTGTGCTTGGCTTAGGAGGAGAAAGTGATTTTGATAAAAGCATAGAGGTACTTGTGGTGACTGTGTGCACTGTCAAATCATGTAGAAGGAGTATGTGCAGTGTGATAAGAGCCGAGTATCAGCAGACAAGAATGAGAAAGCGACTGTGAGAACTGACCGCTGACACGGGAATCAGAGAAAGAGCAATAATTGATATTGATATTTCCATGTTTTACTCAACCATGGGTTTGTTTTTGGGAGGGTTGGAGTGTACCACAATTACTAGTGTTCAGGTTTATCAGCTCTAGTAATGCTGAGACTGATACTCAAATCTTCCAAATGTCTCCTTTCCTGCAAGTCTTTTGAATAGTAAATTTATTTGTACTTTCTGAAAATCAAAGTGGGTGTAATATGAAGAATCCATTTCCTTCTGTGGAGCGTTTCTCTCATTTCTATTGTACTAGACTCCGGTCAAACAGAAAGAGAGACTTATTCTGTCCTTGGAAATTTATGTTCTAAATAAAACCTTTTAACACAAAGGCCTTTTTAATTAGATGGAGAAGGTTACTACACCTGTTGTTAGACATATTAGTGCTGAAGTAGTTCCCATGGGACCTCCACCACCTCCTAAACCAAAGCAAAACAAAGACAGCACATTCATGGAGAAGCTGCATGCAGTGGATGAAGAATTGGCTTCAAGCCCAGTATGCATGGATTCTTACCAGGTACCATTTTGGGCGATGCTATAATAGTGTGGTTTTAGTTTAAGTAAAATTTGTTAGAAAGGAGGTAGCTTTCTGATGTTCTCTGCTATTACTTTTACTGCATTCTGCTCTCCTTTTGTAACTTTATTAAGTTGAATCTCCATAGTGTGTAGGACGCTAGCTCTGTGAGAGAATAGAGGTAGCTGTTAGTAAAGTGTTGTTAGTGACGTGTATTTTTGGTTTCTTGTATCATAACTACACTTCCTATTTATGCTCCTAAGTCTCTCACTGCCATTGTTTTGACTGTTAAATGTAATTCTATGACATTTACATAACTAATGAAAATAGTTTTCCTTTTGAAAGATATCCTGTCAACTTAGTTGTGTTTTGCAGGCACGTATACTGTTAACACCTGAGGAAGCTTGATTGTAAAGAGAACCATTATTTCATATTAATAATGTGAAAAGTATTATTGATCTGTGTTAGTGTGCAAGGGTGAGGAGTCATGAAGAAACAGTCCTGTGCTGCCGCTCTAGATTAATTTCAGGTAGTGAAGAGGGCAAACAGAGTAAAACATATGTGAAAGAATCAAATATTGCAAGTGGAGATTGCTTCCTTGGTAGCAGATGAGAGTTTAGCATGAGATAAATGAACAATAATATATTTATAAATAATAACAGTTTAATACCAAGAAAGTTTAGTTTTCTCAGATTACCAAAGTAAATGATTCTTTGTGGCAGGAATCTAATATTTTTGGTATTGGATTTTTTTGGCTGGGCTGAAAACGCCGCTGCCAGAGAAACTGAGCAAAGCAGAGACATTGTAATTCCATTGTGCTTTTCCTTCACCTTTCAGTCTCTGGAAGACAGCCTCATTGCCTTCCGAACCCGATCTAAGAGACCGCTGAAGGATGTTCCTCTTGGTCAGCTGGAGGCTGAGCTCCGAGCCCCAGATATCACGCCTGATATGTACGATCCCAATACTGCAGATGATGAAGAATGGAAAAGGTGGCTTGGAGGACTCATGAATGACGATGTGGAGAATGAAGGTATATGACAGATGTCGTCTTCTTGTTGTTGTTCACTGGAATTGGGGGTTACATTGAAAGCCTGGAGCTTTTTCTTTCTATTTATACATTATGTTCTTGGCTGCAGCCATTATCTTGTTTAGTAATATGCATGTGTTTTGCATGCCATCAGCTTTCCTCATCTTCTCCATTGTCATTTGTGAGGGTTTTTAAACTTCAGGTGTCTCACTTGTAAATATTTACTAGCCAGCACATGTTCTCTGCTATAACTGGCAACCATAAATGAAAGTTACATGTTTCGGCCCTCAGTCCATCATGATGTGTCACGAAGCTGGCAGCATTGATATACCTGAATCTGTCTGCGTGTGTCATGCTCCTTGTTAGGGACATGACTTGTTTTGGTAGAAACAAATATTTTGTTCTTCGAAGAGAAACAAGAACAAGCTTTGGGGCTTGACTTCCTCTTGTCCTGAATTTCCCGGTTGCTTATACTTCTGCAAATTGAATATAAAATGCAAATTGAAATAATACTACTTCATTCTTTCTAAATTTAGCTGAAACTCAGGTCACAGAGAATAAATCCAGCTTTTCTAAATGGGAATGGCTACAAATAAGGATGCTAGTAGCTCAGTTTGAAAAGAGGATGGGCTTGATATTGCTTCCGTAAAAAGGAACATACAGTTAATTTCAAGCAGTAATCCTAGTGCTCTTTGTGCCAGGTCAGGCAGTAAATGAAGTGTTTCTGCTCTTGGCTACTCATTAGTCTTGGGGCAGGGTAATGATGTTTCAAAACATGCTTCGTATTAGATGAAGCAGATGATGATGATGACCCTGAGTACAACTTCCTGGAAGATCTGGATGAACCAGACACAGAAGACTTCAGAAATGATCGTGCTGTGAGAATTACCAGTAAGTCCTTTGGGAATCCCACCTCCTTTCTTGTTAGGATTAGTAATTCATTTTGAAAAGTGTTTTGTTGCAAAGATTTTGCAGTGTAGGCTAATTAAACAAAATCTGCATACTGACTTGAACAGCTTTTCTGTGCAAAGCTGGCTTTCTGTGAATACATGAAAGGATCTAGCCAGAGCTGCTGTGCTATCAGATGCAACTTTACTCCATAGCGAAGACTGAAGAATAATACTTATGTGATAGTGCAGTCTTTCATAAAGCTTCAGCCAATTCAGAATTGAATGCTTGCCTTATGACTTGAGTGTAATTAAATTTTCTCCAAGTCCTTACAATCCTCAAGTTAGTTTTATAAACATACCACTTCTCATCTTCTCAATAAAGCACACTTGTTTTAGATCTTATTACAGGTTAACATAACTTTAAATTTAATTCTGAGAATTAGTTTTTATATGATATTTTTGAATCAAAACAGTCTCAGCTGAAGTTTTTTGGGGCCAGCATTAAAAAGGGATATAGTATGGGGGGCCTTTCCTTCTTAGTCCTCTCTTTGCAAAAGGAGGGTTTCCCTTTGCAAGAGAGATTCCTTAAATGACTTGATATTATGACAGTGTTTCTTGGAAAAGGAATCTTCATACTTCTTTTTAATTTTATTTGCAGAAAAGGAAGTGAATGAACTGATGGAGGAGCTGTTTGAGACAGTAAGTGATAGATCTGTTCTTCAGTGCTATATCCAATTTTTCTCAGATCTGACATGAAATCTCTAAAGCCATAAAGGGGTGGTCTCTGTAAGATGCTTAGTGCTGACTATGTGCAAAGGGCCCTACCACAAAATTGTAATTTTTAGCCTTAGGAAGGAATGTGTACAGGAACTTCCATAAGTCCCTGCAGAGATGAATGCCTATGCTAAGAGGATCATCATGAGCTTTATTAGCTAAAGACAGTTGGTTGAGCTTTCTATTCCTGACTGTTGCTACACATTTGCTGTCAGTTTCAGGATGAGATGGGTTTCTCGAACATGGAAGATGAAGGTCCAGAAGACGAAGATAATGTCACAGAATCACGGCCAAATTTTAATACACCACAAGCACTTAGGTAGGATCATTTGGTTATGGTCGTAAAATTAAAAAAAAATAGCAACTCTGTTATGATAAAAAGCCTATGGTTACCTGCAGCTGTACTATGCCATCCACCAAAGAGATAATGCTTTTTCAGCACAGGCCACTGTTTTGAAAGCTCTGAGCCATTTTTATTTCTGAGTTTGAACACTTGACCCTCTTTTTTTCTGTCTGTCACCTTTGACTTTACTGATTGTGATGTCGTCGTCTTCTTCAGATACAACAGTCAAAATGTAACTGTTCAGAAAGAGACAGCAAGAATGCCTGCACTAAAAGATTGGTGCTGGCTGTTCTGTATCATAGCTGAAAACAGCCGAGGTCTTTCAGAATGGTGGTCTGTTCCAACAAGCCGTCATCTCTAGTGGAGGATTCTGTTCCTGCTTCTGTAATCTCCATGTTATATATACTGTCCCTGTGTATTGAAATTGTGTTTATTTCTCAAGTCCGTCCAAATATCCCCCCCTTTATTAGACTAATTCCTCTGAAAAAACTACTTCACTCTGTGCTAAGTCACTTACTTCAGCTGTTAAACTAACAATAATTAGTGGAGCAGCATATTGCATGACTGGCGATGATACTTCAAAGCAATGGGTACAGAAACAGTGGATCCTGGTGTGTTGCTGCATATGTGATCAAAGCTATGTAGGTCCCAACCTCAAAATGATAGCCACTCTAGCTCTCTTAATTCTTGTGCTTTACACTGTGGTGGTGGCTTTAGTGTTCTGAAATAATTTCAGAAAAACAATAGTTTTCTTGCCTTTTTTAATTTATTTTTAAAATTTTTTATTGTTAAGGGGAGGGGTAAAGTTCACTTACTGCCCTTACGTTTTTTTGATGACAAGAAATGCTTGAGGAGCTGGTTTGACCAAGTGTGTCACCTTGTCTTTTAAGTAAATAGCTTGGATGTAATGGTGGGCTTTTCTAAGAAAAAAGACTGCATAAGATAGCTGAGGCCTAGGTCTGAAACGACTATAAAGTTTGGAAATTGGCTTTTGATGATTTTTGGTATGGGCTATATTTGAAACAGTGCCTTGAAGAGGAAAGGGTCTAAAGCGTTTCTTTCTAGGTAATAATACCACTCTATTTAGCCAATTACAGAAATTGCGGTATGAATGGTGTCTCCTTGTTTATGGGGCAGATCAGCTCAAGATCAAGCTGTATCTGTTTGGGAAAGGAGCTAAAATGAAGGCTGGAGTTTCTTGATACTCTCTCTGGCATGAGCAGTACCAGAGGGGAGTGCGGCAATTCTTAACCAGCTACAGACTAAAAGCAGGGAAACTTTATGCTCTCTCTTATTGTTTTTATGCATTTGTCTTCGATAATGGCTAGTTGTATTCATTTTTCGTTGGTGGGCAGTTCTCCCACCAATTGTTTCTTCCCCAGTTTTATCTGTATGCAGGATTCTTAAAGTTGTTTTGTGGCAAAATATCTGTTTGCTAGGTTTATTGTTGTTTTTATGATACCTTGCATTAGAAGCATTGTGGAACAACTTTACTAATAACTGACTTCAGGCCTGTTACAGAAGTGAAGCTGATAACAAGCAGAAATCGTAATATTAACTGGTGTAGCTAAAATAAATAAAAATCTATCATAAGGCAGGGGATAGTTGAAGCTGTTTTTGAAAGGATGGTAATATGTATATCCTCTTTTCTGCTACAGGAGTAGCTCATACTATAGTATCAGCAGATGTCTAGTAGAGTACTCTGCATAAAGCTAGATACTACTTAAATTTTTTTTTTTTTTAAAGTAACAGCATTTGCGTCAGTGTGTGATCTTTCCGGAGACACTCGTGGTAAAATGCCACCCATAATACCTTGGGTTCAGACCTTGCCTGATGATACAAGTTAAATAGGATTGATTCTAATGTATTCTGGATTATCTTAGATCCTGACTGCTGTTGAGAGTATCTGAGCAATTGAGTGGAACACACATGGGATATGATTGGGAATGGTGGACAAGACTGTTAACTGTCCTTGGAATAAATAGTTGAAGCATTGCATCCCAGAACTACAACAGTGCTGTGGTGGTTTAAAAGATTTATGTATAAGACAACTGTATAAATAACTCTGTTTTCAAGTTGAAGAATACTGTCAGAGTGTTGAGTAGTACAGGGATGATAGTTCTTAAACTGTGCATCCCAGATACAGAGTAAGATGTTCTAAATGAATATGAATGGTCATTAAATCATATGTTTACTATATTTTGGTCTGCCTGATCTCAAACAGATTTGAAGAGCCTCTGGCCAATTTACTGAATGAACAACACCGGACGGTGAAGGAACAACTTGAGCAGTTGAGAATGAAAAAGTCCTCGATCAAGCCACCACAAGAGGCAGAAAAATCAAAACCTCAAAATGAGAAGCCTCTCCAGAGCCTTGTTCTGGACAGCGTGCAAAGAAAGAGGCTCCAGCAGCAAATGCAGCAGGTAATGAAGTGTTACCTGGTCTGACCTAATGAATATTTGCTGTATACTGCGGGGGGGGTGGGGTGGGGAAAGCCAGAGGCACAGCAAGCAGTTTGGTGTGCTTCCGTAAAGAAATTAATTGAAGAAACTACCTTTGAAGCTAGAGCTTTGATAGGTGGTACTTACGTGCCTGATTCCACACTGAAAGACAATTTGAATTGAATGCGCAAAGTAGAGCTTATTTCTTGGCATCTGTATTGTTCTCATGCGACATAGGTGCCTTGGCCATGTTTGAATTCTGACTGTAATCTGTCAAAATCCTCTACTTTCACCAACTTTATTACTTTCTGAGAATATTACTCTTGATGTAGTTTGGATTCTTTTTTTCCTCCTCCCACCGTGCAAAACTGTGCAGAAATTCAGTTTGAACATTTTAAAAGCTGTCAGCAGCATAGATGAGAAGCTGTGATTAGAGATTTTTTTTTTTTTTTCCACGTCCATACAAAGTTCAAGAGCACTTCTTCTCAGAACTTGAAACTTACCGTCAACTCGATCTCAGGAGGACAAAGTGTACTGGTTTTGCGTGAACTTGATACAAGTCTTGCTGAGTAGTCATTTATTATTCTGCATACCTCATATAGTGTCATGTCTTGGTCTGAGGCAGCAAGGAAAGGACACAGACCTCTCAAACATGAGCTAAAGAAATGGATCTTGCATTAGACGTGTAGAGTAAATGACGTTTTTAATTTTTCAGCTGCTAAGCAAGATGTATGGTGTTTGTGTGCATATGGGGAGTTCTGATAGCTGAAGTCATTGTTTCTCAAGAAATACTTAAGTATTTAATTAGAAAAAAAATCCTTTCTGTATTGATCGTTATGGTATGAGACCTTGGCACAAAAGCTAGGAAACTGCCCTAAGACTTAAACAGATGATGTGTTAAAAATCTGTGTAACAAACTTCCTGCCAGTGGATATTAAAGTTTCCGCTCAGTTTTCTATTGCTTAAAAGGTTTTTTGAAGCCAGAATGTGATTTTTGGGGTGCTCAGGAGATATTTCTTGTGCCTCTATACTTATGCTTCCAGTTTCTTGGATTTCTGATACACTGAAAAAAAACATTTGTCTGATTTTATTCTCCAAGCATGTTCAGCTTCTGGCTCAAATCCATCTTCTCGCAAGTTCCAACCCTGCTTTAAGTTCAGAGGCCAGTACTACCAGGATGTTTTTGGTAAGGATATGTCTCAAATCAGAGCTACATGAATTTTAATGATTGCTGGTCACCGGATATATTTAGAGAGCTTATTTGATCCCATTAAATTGAGAGAGACTACCACTCAACAAGGGAATGATGTTGTTAGCCTACTATGAACATGCTCAGTACTTAGAGAAATAACTCGCATTGTGCTAATAACAGTGCTTTGAATCGGCATGTCTTTGTATTTTTTTAATTGTTTTCTTGGAAATACTGAAAACAAAGTTCAAAAAATACAGCTTCTGTAATCAGTGAACGTTCTGTGACCTTGAAAGGTTCTGAAAAGTGGAGGAATTTAAAAAACAAAAAAAATATTCCTCTGATTGTTCCTAGATTTGTAATGCTTAAAAATAAGACCTGTAATACTCTACTTTTTTATGCCTGTCACTTCACCAGCTTTTATTTTTTGCATTATTGCATTACATGTATTTGTTCTTTACCTTCCATTTGAAGGCATGTTCTTTTATGTTTTTCTGTGACTTTGCAGAGCGAGCTTGGTAACTTTGCTCGAAGCTCTACACTCCTTCGTCAGTCGTTCAATCCTAAGTTTCAAACAATGTTCCAGCCGTGTAACTTGAAGGGAGCACTGCAGCTCATTGAAGATTTTCATGCCCAAGTCCAAGTTGACTGGAGCCCTCGCAAAGCTGTGAAGAAGAGTGGTACGTATTTGAAGGGACAAGAGGTGGGAAAGCATTTACCGTGGGAGTTACTTCATGCTATGCACCCTCCACATGAGATATGGTTCAGACTGCTGTTTGGAATGGAATTTTTTTTTTCTTTGTGAGGTGTTTTTAGATAAAACCATCCACTTTATTGACTGCCTTTTTGCTTCTTAAACTTGTAACACAGTAAAGCATGTTGTATGAGCTGTTGACTTTTGTTTGACATCATAATCCTGCCGCTTACTGTTCTACAGATGACGTTTTGCGCTGCAGAAGTCCATCAAGAAATTATGAAACTGGAAGTAATTCTTCCAAATGTTTTGGTTAACACAAATCAAGGAAATACTCCCTTCATTGGAGTATTTTAGTGAAAAAAAAGCTCCAAACCGTTGGTTTCAAATATTTGGTTTGTGATTTTTCTGCTACCTAGAGAGTGAACTCACTTGAAATAAACAGAGCTTTTTACAAGTGCTTTTTCATTATAGAGCAAAAGAAAAGATGGAAGGGGAAAGTAATTTTGCCTTTTGCTGATGTAAACTGAAGGGCAAAACCTAGGAAATATGCAAATTCTAAAAACCAGGGAGAAAGTCTCTTTCTTTTTGCAGTGAAGGGAGTAAAATAAACAGTGTTTTCAAGAAGTCAGTTGTGAAAAACATTATTTGTCCATGTATACGTTTATCCTTATCTGTTAATTCTTTTCACAGCCAATGAATTTCCATGTTTGCCAAAGCAAGTGGCATGGATTTTGGCAACAAGGAGAGTCTTTATGTATCCAGAGTTACTGCCAATATGTTCCTTGAAAGCAAACCCTCCCCGGGACAAGATTATCTTCACCAAGGCAGAGGACAAGTAGGTCCTTAAAATTGAATAAAATGCACACAAACGAGACTTATTTGTTAAGGAGAATTTCTAGGATGCAAACTTTTGGGATATCTGTGTATTGTGCAACAGCACATGCAGATAGCAATCTGCCGTATTGTCTAAAAGACTTCCCCCCCACCCCCTTTCTTCCTTCTTCAGTTTATTAGCTTTAGGTTTGAAACATTTTGAAGGGACAGAGTTTCCAAAGCCTTTGATCAGCAAGTATCTCTTGCCAACAAAAACTGCCCACCAGCTTACAGTACGAATCAAGAATCTCAACATGAATCGAGCCCCTGATAATATCATCAGAGTAAGTGATGCATTCAGATTATGTTTGGTATTTTTCAGATTTGTCTCTCTGGTTGGTGTTTGTTTATACAAGGAGAGATGTGCTGTTTGTTCCAAGAACCTTTTTGTATATGTGCTGACACTTTCTTAAAAGAAAATATCATCCTTTTATTAGCAATGATGATTTCTTCAAAAAAACCTTATCCTCTGTACTTTGCAAGTACTTAGATTACTATTTTGACTCTTTAAAGCCCAGCACTTGCAGACAGTCCTAGTACAACTGTGGCTTCAGTAATCCTGACAAATTCATACAAATAAACTTTGAGCAGTGAAGCTTAAACAAAAGTGCTGTCTCCAGTCAGGCTGAAGGCCCAGCTAGCCCGAATATCCTGTCCCATAAGCTAAGGGCCACTGCTGAAGAGAGAATAAGAACCAGAAATACTTAAAGCAAGTACGCCTGCACATCTGCTAGAACTTCATGCTTTCTTTTGAGAGAAACCAAGATGGCAGTGATCTCTTGTTCAGCCTTTATTATTATTTTTTAATGTTTCTGTGGGTAGTACCTTATTAAAGTAGTAGTGACGAGAATCGCTTAATTCACATGAGTACTTTTACAGAGCACAATCCTTATCCTACATCCCAGCAGTTACTGGATAGGTGTTCTGACCATAGTCATCTTGTCTTGCGTTCTCTCCTGTCTCCACATAGTACTATAAAAAGACAAAACAGTTGCCCATTCTATTCAAGTGTTGTGAGGAAATCCAGCCTAATGAGTGGAAGCCACCTGTGGAGAGAGAAGAACATCGCCTGCCATTTTGGCTAAAGGTAGTTTCTGCTATTCTTCATCCAGCATAGGGGGTTTTTTTGTTGTTGTTTGGTTGATTTCTTTTGGGGGGTTTTTGTTTTGTTTTTTTCTTTCTTTTTCTTTCAGCCTAGGTCCAGAGTGAGTTGATTGGTTAGCCTACAGCTCTGAAGTCAAAAGGTAGTCTGATTATATTGCATGGGGGCCTGTGTTATCCTGAGTCCAGCTAGTAAACGTAGCAAGAACGGTAGTACTTAGCAACCTGAAGTATTATACACTACTCTTGGGGCTTGTCTGCCCAGCTGCAGTACATGATTGAAGTTATCATGGACATACAGTGTTTGTTGTCACATCCTTGTTTTGCTACATGGGTGTATTTCTGATGGCTCTGGTTTGATGTGTTGATTTTGCTACTTGGCTTTGCTAATTTGTTAATCAACATAGTCTTACCCTTGCTTTATGGTTAGCAGTGTTGCCATCTTTCCCACTTTATTACAGCCATGAGAGAGGGCGTGTTCTTCCCCCTTAAAACCTCACCTTCTAAGAGGAGAGAAATGTCGGGGGTTGGGGCGGGTTTTTTTAAGGTTATCTTCACTTGCAGTGTGGCTGTTATTTTTGTTATACCCAAATGTCTCACACTTTGTCAGGATTCTTTCTCTGAGATTCTTTGCACAAGGAAGACTAAGTTGGAGGCATAGCGACCATGCCTGCGAGTCAATCAAGGAGGACTGTGTCTGAGGAAAGAACTAGACTCAGATGCCATAAAATCCAGTTCTCTTAATCACCCATCGTATTTCATTGTTACAGTGAAGCTTCCTTCCCACAAAATCTTGTATTTACTAAAGGAACATTTATAAGGCAATACAGTTCTCTTGTTTCTTTCAGGCTCTGAGATTCTTTTGAAAACTTTGGAGTAAAACTCGTGAATATAAAGTAATATACAGTAGCGTAAAGTAGATAAAAAATGCTTTGCTTTTAGAAGCAAGTTGCTGTCTGTCGCCTTCTGTGGTGCTGTTTGAAGGTGGTAATAGAGGAGTAGCCTATGGACTGGACTAATAAACTCTTGTTTCCTTTAGGCAAGCTTGCCCTCCATTCAGGGGGAATTGAAGCAATTAGCAGAAGATGCCAGGGAGATGCCAGGTTCACCTGATGCAGAATCTGTCTTTCTGGGGACAGGAAAGGAAACTTCAGACACAGAATATGATGAAAAATACCCTCTACTTATGCCAAAGGGACTAGTACTGACCTTAAAGCCCCTTGCCAATCGATTCTCTAGGAGAGCATGGAGGAGGCAGAGGTCTTCAGCTTTGAAGCCTGTCCTCATTCGACCGAGTCCTTGTCTGCAGCCCAGTTCCAATACTATTAACATCCAGAAAACTGTGAAGTTGTCCCAGTCAGAAGCTCCTCCCAGCAAAGTTATGGTTCAGATTCCTCGGCTAATCCAGCCAGCTACAGTTATGCAGACGGTGCCTGGAGTGCAGCCTTTGAATGTTCAAGCAGTGGTAGGAAGTGGGGATGGCTTGGAATTTCAGAATGTGCTCTCCACTTCGCATTCGGACTCCAGACAAGCTTTCTCAGCTGCTGTACCACCAGCTCTAGTGTCCTCAAATCCAGTTACTTTTCAGCCAAAACTGATGTTGCCAGCTTTGGCTGGAGCAAAAATACGCAAACCTTGCGTTCGTAAGGGATATCAAAAGAAAAAAGGGACAAAATCTGCCCCACTGATAAAGACTTCGCCTTTGATTCAGCCATCTCCTGTCATCCTTACTGTACCTGCTACCACAGTGAAAGTGGTTAATATAGGCAATGGTTGCAATATGATTCAGCCCATAAATACAACAGTTGGTACAGGCACTCAGGCTATTCCAGTTACAACCTTATTGGTAAATCCATCCACTTTCCCGTGTCCCTTAAATCAGCCTCTAGTGACTTCGTCAATCCCTTCGTTGATAGTCTCTCCTAACCCTGTTGGTCTTTCTGCATCATCTGTTGGTGAAAATGAAGAACAACTGAATCTGGTTCCTTCCTGCCCTGCTGCAAACAACAAAAATACCTATCCCACAGTGGAGCCCAAGGTTGAACCCCCAGAGCTGTACATTTCATGCTCTGCTGTCTCCCCCAAGAAGGAGTGTAGTACAAATCCTGCCACTTCAAATAATGGCAGTCAGGAAAAGGTAAATAAGAGTGACTGCTGTAGCTGGACGGTGGTAGAAGGAGACGAGAACACTTCAGAGCCATTGTCTGTGGACCTTTTGCCTCACTTAGAAGATCCAGATGAAACAGTGAAAATTGAGCCTGAAGATTCAAATGATGCTACAAAGGAAGTAAATCCAGTACAGAAGAGGGATCTTTTATGTGCTGAAGTGAAGGAGGGTTTCTTGGCCAGGAGCTGAACATGGAGGCTGCATGTTCATGTTCAAATGACCTGAAAGAAATTAAAAAAGAGCATACTTTGTGTGACGAGAAGGGAGAAGAAGAACGACGGGTTTTGCAGGCATCTCCCCATGGTGAACAGCAGTTGGATGCAGGTGGTGTTGCTGGACCACAAGCGAGCAGTGAGTCTCCAAAGAATCTTTCGTATACAGCAGATGTTGAGGCAGAATTTAGTAGTCCACTAGGAAGACCAGAGGATTCATCCAGTATAGATGGCCAGTCTGTTGGGACACCAGCTGGCCCTGAAGCTGGAGGAGAGAGAGAAGGACAAGAAGAGGAGGAAGAAGACGACTTTGATGATTTTACACAAGATGAGGATGAAGAAATGTCATCAGCCTCAGAAGAATCTATTCTTTCAGTGCCAGAACTTCAGGTAAAAGCAAACAAAACTTTAAAAAACTTGCTGATGACGAATATCGGTGTCCTGAAACACCCTAGTGGAGTCAGGGCAAATCACAACTTCCAGTTGGAAAGCTGGACTGTTAACTATATAATAGCATGGTATTGTGCTGTTTTACAGAGAAATTGGACACCACATTTTTCTGAGAGGATTTTAAGTGCAACCTAAAGGAATATCTTGCAAATATGCAGATTTAAATTTTGCTGAGTTGTAAGGACTTCCTCAACTGAGGCTGTTCTTTAATAAGAAGTACTTTAAGTGAAAATTATTTTCCAGGTCATAATTCCAGCAAGCCTTTAAGAACTAAGAGAGGATTCCTTAATCATCCTCTAACTTAAGGCTTTTATAAGTGGCAGATTCTGAAATCTAATTTTGCGCGTGACACAAAAATAGGCCGTTCTGTTGAAGTCTGTCCCTTCAGTAGAATCCTCTAGTTGGTCAGATGTTGATCTGTGAAATTGGCTGTTAAGAATTATGATGGAGTGAGCTAGTTGCTGAATGACATTAAAACAAACACTAAGAGAAAACAATGTGAGTGTTTTTTGTTGTTGCGTTCTAAGGAGACAATGGAAAAACTTACTTGGCTTGCAACAGAGAGACGTTTAAGCCAAGAAGGAGATTCTGAAGAAGAGAATTCCCAGGAAGAGAACTCTGAGCCCGAGGAAGAGGAGGAGGAGGAAGGGGAAGGAATAGAGAGTTTACAGAAAGATGATGAAATATGTGGCGATATATCAGGAGAACCTAAATCTGCCTTCACATTGACAAAGACGGCCCCGCAGGTGGAAGCCCACAGAATGCCAGCAGGTAAGTTCTGTGGGTTTCTTTTGACACAGGGCATGGGGAAATACAGCTGCTCTCTGCATTAAAAGCAAAACCATGGGGAAACTGTGTGCGGGTTTAATTTCACTTAGCCTATCTACCTGAGCTTAGTGATGCTTTCCATCTGGAAATTAAATTTTGCAACACAGTCACAATTCTGTAAAAACAGTTCTTGCCATAGAAGCCCTTGTGCATGTGAACTGAGTTTCTTCAGTCCATTGTAATGCATTTATGCTTCAAAAATTTGCAGACATAAGATTTGTGGTTTGTGTCAGCTAATACCCAATACCTATATAAGAACAATATTAAATAGTCAAATCTTTGCTAAATTGAACTTTGTGTTATAAGGTCGTGTTGGGGAAAAATAAATGAAACAAAATAATACCTTAACAGAATATAGCAAGTGGTAGATGAATTGGAGCAGTGAACTTTGAGGAGGTGGACCTCAGCCCATTAGAGAGAGATTCCTAATCTAAAGACATAAAAATCTCGATGGAGCAACTCTTAGTACGCTATTTCATTCCCTATTATGTGACACCAGTTATGTATCTGTGACATTAACTTTATTCATGTAAATAATAAGCTAAAAGAATAATTTGCAAGTGTTACAGCCAGCTCTGATGCTCATACCGTATCTCTGTTTACCCACTATGATTTTTTTGCCCCTGGCATGCAGTAGATGTATCTATCAGTTCTTCGTAGATTGCTAGCTGAGTAACAGCTAGGATGGGTTTGCTGCTGTATCCAGAGATTTTTTCTGTGGGATGCTATAAACAGCCAATTTAAAATATGTTACTCAGCCTGACTAATGAAAAGTATATTGCTCATACACTTACAGGAGAGCGTAAACAGTTAACTCATCACTAACGCTGAAAACCTACTTTTCTATTGCGGTATTGATCTAGAAGAGTAGTTGTCTGCCAGCGCAGGGAATGTATGAAAAGTACCTGTACCACTTGCTTTGTGCTTCTTCACAGGAGAAAACATGAAAGCCCCTGGGAAGAGCAGGAGCTCCCACAGAACCAGAAATAAGAGGGGACGGGCTCGTGCTAGCAAAGATACATCTAAGCTGCTCCTCTTGTATGATGAAGACATCCTGGAGAGAGATCCCCTGCGGGAACAGAAAGATCTGGCATTTGCACAAGCCTATCTAACCAGGGTAAGCCAGACCAGTGTGTAACCCAGAAACAGGAACATTGGACACTGTGAGTCCTCTAACACAGTTCACAACTGAGTCACATAACTGCCAGTTCTAACTGGGTGCACTGGATCTGGTCGGGATGGAGTTATCTTTCTTCATAGCACTCCGTGTGGTGGTCCTTTACTTATTAAACTGTCTTTATCTCGACCTATGAGTTTTCTTGCTTTTGCTCTTCCTCTTCCCTCCCCTGTCCTGCTTGGGGGAGGTGGGGAGTGAGTGAGTGGCTGTGGGGATGCTGAGCTGCTGGCTCCAGTCAATCCACAACACTGGGCCTCTTTTAATTTCAGAATTTCATAGTTTTGGATTTGGTTCTCTTCTCTCTTGTGAGCAGTTCAAATTTATCTTTAAGGAAGAGACTCGGTTGGCTCAACAAAACTGGAAGCACTGTGTAAATTCTGAGTAGCAAGAGATCAAAGATCACTGAATTAACTTGTTTTCTTCCTGGATGTTATGTGGTCCTGTAAAGGTCTCTTGCTCTTTCCAGGTGCGTGAAGCCTTGCAGCATGTTCCTGGAAAGTATGAAGACTTTCTTCGTGTTATCTATGAGTTTGAGATTAGCACGGACAAGCGAACAGCTGTGGATCTCTATTCCACTTTACAGAAACTGTTGCACGACTGGCCACAGTTGCTCACAGATTTTGCTGCCTTTCTTCTACCAGAACAAGCTTTGGAGTGTGGACTGGTAGGTAGAATGAAAGAAGGAGACCAAATTTTAAGCAGACAATGTGAATGCTTTTGGGAGTGAAAGAATAAGGAATTCTTCCTAGGGCAAGAAAGGTAAACAGCTGGTAAATCATTTGCTTACCTTGCTGTTTTATTGATCAGAATTGAAAAGTCTAGTGTTTGTTTTAAGTATTACTCTCATATTAAGTATTACTGTGGAGAATCAGCCTTTCCCAGTTACATCGCAGAACCTGATTGCAGAGACAACGTGCAGATACAGCAAGTGGACTGGTTCCCTTGTCTCACAAATCAGCCTTCCACTTTATAAGATAGAGGTTTTCACCTGTTACATTCTTTCTGGATTTTCCTGTCTTATGTGCGTATGGTTGAAGCAAAACTTTATAGCTCACGTGAGTATTGATTATACAAAGTCTTGTTTCTCTTCCTCCACCTTTTCCCAGTTTTGCAATGGGTGTCAAGACAAATGGAAAACAAATAGCAAGACAGGCATTTTATAGCTTGCTTAAGCCAACTAGAGATGCTTGGAAATATATTCTTGAATGTGAGGGGTGAATCTTTCTTTTGATCAGTTTGAAGAGCAGCAAGCGTTTGAAAAAAGCCGGAAGTTCCTCAGGCAACTGGAGATTTGTTTTGCTGAAAATCCTGCCCACCATCAAAAGATCATCAAAGTTCTGCAGAGTTGTGCAGACTGCCTCCCCCAGGAGATTGCAGAGGTAATCAGGCATCCAGGTATCTCCTTTTGCTCAAAAACCCCGAGAATGCAATTAGCTAGCCTGCTTCCCTGTTCCCATGTACTGCTCTTTGAGACCACAAGAGTTTAGCAAGTGCGATCTCCCTCTGGGGGGTGTGGTAGAGAATTGAAGTTGCCTCTTCAAGAGGCTTTACGATTAACTGGCCTGTGTGAGTCTTCTCTCTCCTGCCTCCACCTTGCTTTTATCACCTTGCAGGTGAAATTTTAGCTTAGTGCCTCCTACAGAGTCTGCCTAGAGTTTTGGATGGATATTTCTATGCTGGTTTGGTAGCTGGGTGTGGAATGGTCTCAAAATACTCATGAAGTAGTACCAATGCAAGCATAAACTTCCATGTTGGAGGTCTAATAAGCCTTGATGTTCCACTTGCTTTGAGAAGTCCTTCTGAGAAGAATGTGACGAAATGGAATGAAACTCATTTTCTCTGGATTCTGTCTTTCAGCTGAAGACGCAAATGTGGCAATTGTTGAAAGGACATGACCACTTGCAGGATGAGTTCTCCGTTTTCTTTGATCACTTACGGCCCTCAGCCAGCCGCATGGGAGATTTTGAGGAGATCAACTGGACAGAAGAGAAGGAATATGAGGTGGAGTAAGCTTTTCCCCAAGACCAGAAAAGATAAAAGCAGAGATACTAGACATGTTTGAACTTGAAGGACTCAAATTGAGGCTGCATTTCCAGAGTGAGGGACGCAGCAGGGTGGGAGAGCTGTTGGTGGACTGAAGCAAACTTTACAAATTTTTTCACGGCATTTATGTCTCTTCTAACATAATTGAACTTGTGATGTCCTGGAACTGAGCTCAATATTCAGAAATGCATGGGGAAAATGAAGTTTAGTCTGCTGAAGAGCTATCGTGATAGAGCAGGTTTTGTGTGTTTCTTTTTTTGTAGTTTGATGGGTTTGAAGAGGTATCTTTGCCAGATGTAGAAGAGGAGGATGAACCACCCAAGATGCATGCAGCCTCAAAAAATAAGAAGCGGAAAGAGATCGGAGGCCAGAACAATGACAAGGTGGGCCTGGGGTATCTCACTAGACTGCATATCTGGACTCTTGAGCAAAAGCATGCCCATGAGGATAAATGTGTCTTAGAGAGACGTGACAACAGCCTAAAAAGGTTTGAAGAAAGGGGATTGAAATGTTTCCATTGTGCTTTGCTTGCTGGCAGCATAATCGCTTTAGCTTTCTGAGTGTGCGCAGAGTGCCACTCAGCCCTTCCTGGCTCCCTCTGGGGTTGACCTTCCCCTGACTGTCATCTTTGTGTACCATGCACATTTGTCAGCTGGAGTATGTCTGTTTCCAGGAGGTCGAGTGGGTAGATGGGATGAAGGAATGTTCATGTTCCTGCCATGAAGGGAGTAGCGATCTCAAGCTAAAGAAAAGCAAAAGGAGGACCTGCAGCCATTGTAGTAGTAAGGTTAGTTGATAGGCCAAGTCGTTGGAGTGGTGAGTGGAAAGTAGAGTCCTGCCAAGAGTCCCCCTGTTGTGATGATCTGTCCAGCCTCGGGCCTCATGTCTCCAAAAGAATGTGTTGAGGAAGAAAGTAAATCAAAAGATGACCAGCAGTGTCCCTCTCTTCGGAGCTCTGACTGTACTACCTTCCCCCGTCTATCTCCTGCTCACTTTCTACTGCCCCACCTTGCTATGCTAAATAGTGTTAATTTTTATATTCTTTTGAGTTAAGAATAAGCTTTTTTAGTGGAAGATGCTTGTGTGGCCACTATGTGAAAAGAACTGTGCCTGTTCATAATAATAAAAAAGATTCAGTTTTCTAAATGCAAACATACTGCCAAACTGAAGCCTTTGTTAGGGTTAAGGAATACTTTGGAAGCAAAGGCCGAGGTGTTAGGTTTGGATTGATACACCACATATGTAATTGTCTGCCTATATATTGATTTGCAGGTGTGTGAAAACAAATTTTATAAAAATAAAGATTCTCAAGAGCTGACTGCAAGCCTTGTTCAACAAGAATCGAGTCCTCGGCCTGAAGGGAAGGATTCTGGAACATCTAAGGAACCTGCAGAAGAAAGCCTGGAGAACAGAGATGAGGGAGAAGATGTGCAGAGCAGAACAAAAACTGTATCTAGAAAAGTGGAGACTCTGCCTTCAGGTATGTGAAAGTCTTTTGTACAGACAGGTATATCATTCATCTCCAAACTGGTTCACACAAATGAAAATAGGTGTAGGACTTTTCTAACGCAAATTTATTGAGATAATGAGTACTTCTAATAATCTTTTTTCATTTTTTTCCTTGTGTTCATCCACTCTGGATGCTCTAAACATGCATATATCCAGAGCATTCCCTTCAAAATAGCTTTCCTGACTAGAGAAATATTCTCCCCTTTTCAGAATGATCGGTCCATTTAAGCTTCTCTTGCTAGCATACTAATCCGATTCCCAGTACTACCAGTCCATAATATTGGGTTTTTTCCAGTTTTCATTTTAGCACAGCAATTCAAAAATCACCATGTCTCTAATCTTCCTTTAAATGATCTCCTTCATGTTATTTGTTTCTCCTTCTGTCTGGTACAGACAAGGGAAAACGTGATTATTGCAGGATAAACAACCTGAGAGAGATCTCTTCCTTCTTTTAGTAACCATGTCTCAGTTAATGCTACTGTTGGAGACAACGCACAGGTTAAATATAGTGGTTTAAATGTAATGCAACCTGATGTCTAGTTTATAGTGGTTTTGTAAATCGGGCGCCAAGAGCAGCAACGTCCGTTTCACCTGAGAATTTTGTTCTGGGCAATGCAATTAACCTTTTTCATAGGTTCATCACTCCCTCACACAGCAGCTGGTTGTAGTAACCCACAATGGTGAAGAAAATTGACTGCAGAGGTGCCGCCTTTGAAGTACAGGATGGGTAAACTGCAGATAGAATTACAAAGCTGCTCCCAAACTGTGTTCTCATTTACAGCATTATGCTTTAGAATAAAAAAAAAAATCTCTCTTAAAAAGTGAATGAATAAAGCCTCCAGAAGTTTTTCTTACTAACAGCTAGTCTAATCTTGTTTGGGTTTCTTATCAGGATCTCACTTGGAAGGAAAGATTGTCTCCGGCAGACACGCATCTTCTGAAAGAGATGCGCTGCCTGATAATCGGGTTCAAGAAGCAGGTGTCAGTGCTGTTGTGAATACTCCAAAGGACAGTAACTCTTCTATCACTGGCCCCAGATGGACTCATCTACAAAAAGCTACTCTAAAACTACCTCAAGAAACCAAAGACTGCCCTTGCACTGTGGGAAGTGAGAGTGAGGGGCTCAACCAGCCACATCAAGGAAATGCAGATGCTTCCCTTGGGCTGAGCAGAGATCTGCTGCTGTCTTCTCGTTCTGCTACAGTAAAAGGTTTAACGGGACCTAGTTCCTCTTCTGGAAAGAGTTTATGTCAGACTGAAGGGCTTCATTCTGATTCATCGGATAAGCTCACTGTCTTTGGTCATGCTTCAAAATCAGGTGTGAAAGAATTTGAGGGATCACCTTTGCCTCTGGAAGGAAAACCTGAAGCAAAGCAGGGTTGGATAACACCGGGTAGAAAACCAACACTGGGTAAGAGCTGCAGCTCACAGTCCCCTGATAATCGCATTTTGGAAGCAGATGATACGGGCTGCACTGGAAATTTTCCTGAGAGCAGATTAAAGTCACATGCAAACAACTGCTTCCAGGTGCATCAGCATTCTGAGCAGCTAGAATATAGAGTGGTTACTGCCTCCCTGGGGCAAAAGGAAGAGGAGCAGCAACAGCAGCGAGTCACAGAAGCAACTGTGTGCGCTAAGAACAGCAAAGTCAGCTCAACTGGGGAGAAGGTTGTCCTCTGGACCAGGTATATCTGCCTGAACTGCATCTTACATCCTTTGTGCATTCAGTATTTGGCTTCAGCTTTCGTATTATAGAGTATCCTTTATTTTCATTTTGTATTCCCATTTTCTACTGTCTTCTGCCCCCTCCCTTTGAGTATTCCTGCGTCGTTTCCTCTAACTACAGTCTATCACAGCTGCCATCTTGGGCCTATGAAAAATGCTGTCTTCTCGTGGCCGTGTAATTATTGTAATTATTGGGAAAGAATTTTTTTTCTCCGTCAAAAAGCTTTAAAAATAGGCTAAATGCAGTTCTGCTTAGAGAGATGTCTTGTGATTGGTGGTGGTAGTAAAGGAACAAGCCTGCTGGACTTCTCTGTGGTTGTTAACCTCACCCGGGAACAGGCCTCTCGGGCTTGTGGTGGTTGAAGTGTGTCAGCGCTTGTTTTCGGCTGCTTTCCTAACTATTGTTCTGTTTTGTAGGGAGGCCGACAGAGTCATCCTTACCACCTGTCAGGAGAAAGGAGCCCATCTGGAAACCTTCCATGCCATCTCGCAGAAACTGGGCAACAAGACTGCTAGTGAGGTGAGGGGTCGGTGTGGAGAAGCTTGCACTTGCTACAGTGAATGGGGAAAGAGGTGGAAAGGAAGGAAAGGTGGAGGTTTGCTGTCATATTAGTCTCCTAAACTTAACTTTAATTTCATGCTGCATCAGAGAAAAATAATCCCAATTGCAAATAAAAAAACAAATCCAAAACAAACCCTGATCTGTGGAGCCAAAAATCATGACTGCCCTGGTCCTTTTTACATTACCACTGATATTCTAGCCACATGTTTGGTACCAGAATTGTTTCAGTGACTGCTACTTGGGTCTTCAGCCTTCTACTTAAATATAAGGAATCTGTTGGGTTTTGTCTCTTAACCTTGCCCACATGACTGCCTAGGAATCTTCCCAAACTGCCAGTTTTTACCTGCAAGTCAGTAGAATGTAACTGTTCTTCCAAAGCAAACAGAAAACCCCGTGCTCTTCCATTTCTCTTTCTCTTTATGATTGAATCTTGCATGAAATGTGATTGTGGTTTTTTTAACATAAAAGCACAAACACCCTGAACTTCGTAATACGGAATTTCCATTTTGTACCACCCTTTACGTGACTAGTCATCTTGGATTTCCGTTGTTCTTCAGGTATCCCACAGGTTCAGAGAACTGATGAAGCTGTTTCATACATCCTGTGATGGGAGCTCTGAAGATGAGGAGGATGCAACCAGTACCAGTAACACAGACCAGCTGTCAGATAAAGATCTTCTTCTTTCTGAGGAAGAACCTGATGACTAAGGTTTTTCTGGCTTGATAAGCTACTGACTGAATCAGAAGGAGAGTTGTTTGCCAGTTTGCTGCTAGACAGGTGCTGTGGATAAAGGAAAAATATTTGCACAGGTACTTAAGATAGCACCTTTTTTTTTGTTCACTTTCCTGCTACACTTCTGACAAGCCACACTTCTCAATCTGTATCAAATTAAAGGAATGAAGAAAGTTGTTAGGGTGATAACATCCTCTAGAACCTACACGGGGAGCTTCAACAATGAAATGACAGAAGTGATGCTTGTGGACACTGACCTCAGTCCGTGGTGAAGATTGGGCCACCAGCCTTTGAAAAGAACATGTAAATATTGTATCATAAGATGTCTGTTTTCATGTGGAACAAACACATGATTTTTTTCTAAGTTTTCCCCTTGTGTTGACTGTATGTGGGAAAGTTACAATCTGAATTCTGTATTTATTGTGTGGTCTTATTCTAACAGGCAGAGCAAATTCACTTTGCAAAGTTTTAAAAAAACAAACAAACAAAAACAGCCCCAAAAAGCAGCTTTCCTCCTTTACAACACAACTGCAAGTAGCTGGACAACGTCAGCCAGCCTTTGTAACAGGATTTTGCTGAAATGAAAAGAAAGTAGCAGTTGGGCCATCTTTAAAGCCATTCCCTTTATTTTGAAAGTGATCTTGAAGATGATCTTACTTCCACTATCTCTAGTAATAAAGATGAGTTAGTCTGAATCTGCTTCATCTTCAGATTCATCTGCTTCAGACCCCGTTTCATAGCACTGTGACAGAGTTCTTAGCTCCTGTAAGGCCTCCTGGAAGTTATCCTGTTCAACTCCGGCAGAGAAGAAGCTGGCCCATCGTCGCGTGTTCAGCTTCTGTAGATCCTTGTATAAGCCGTAGAGGAGCGTGCGCAGAACCGGTGAAGACTGCAGGGCTGCTAGTACAGGGATGCTTTCAACAGCTGCAGGGAAAACCATCTTTGTTTAAATATACCAATCAAAATTTGCTTCCCTATTTTACTTTACAAGCAGTTGCTTTACTTGAACTCAGCGTAGCATGAGTTGCTTAACACTCACAATTTTTGCCCTACAAACACTCAAAAGTGTTTTTTAAATAATTCTCTTTTACCTCTCTCAGACCCTACTGCCTCCCACATGATCTCCTTCTGTTGCAAAGTAAGTTTACGGGGCACTTGTTACCTGCTGAGGAATAACTGGGAGGTTTGTCCAGGAGGAAGCCTTGTCTGGTCAGAAGAGGAGAAAAAAACTGGGGGTACGGAGGTAGGGTATTACATGGCTGCTCAAGCACGTGGGATGTGCTGTAAGGAAGAAGGTGAATAAAGTTATCCAAAACCCGCTCTACCTCCAGTTAGTGTTCCCTGTTCTTAAAAAAAAAAAAAAAAAAAAAGAGACTGTTACCAACCTGTATGCCCCAGGAAACACAGCGTGTAAGTAATGCTGCAGAACCTGCTCAGTGCTCTCACAAGCATGGAGTGGAGAAGTGGGCTGCTTTCCTGGACAGCTGCTGCAAAGAAAACCAATTTGTTGTTTTCCAGGGGACTCGACTGAAAATGTCGATGACTCAGCTGCTTTTTAGCTGTTTTGCTATAAAGTCAGTAGCAAGTAACTGGCTCGATCACTAGACTTTTTTTTTTTTTCCCTCCATTCAGCTGACACTCGTAACAGAAGGATTGTGAACAACTTCTGTAAGAAATTGTTGCTGTTGAGAGTGCCAGAGTTCTGAAGGGAAAAGTGCAGTTCAAATGCCAATTACCTGATGTGACTTTCTTTGCAAATTCCTCGTAGCACAACAGACTGAGCAAAACAGCAGCCGACCTTTTGCTCCCTACATGAAGACAGAAGCTTCCAGGGCACATCCTGCTGGTAGGCGCATAAAGTATCGGGGAGCGAGTAGCCACGTAGGGCAGGGAAGGGAACAGATGCCCATGCAGCCACAACCTACGAGCCAGAGAGGAGGTCACAAATCACGACCTAGAACACACTCCCCGTGTCCTGTATGTGTGTACGTATGGATGTGAAGTATGGGTAGAACACCAGCTCTCGCCTACAGCAGTAGTTCAGGTAGAGCTGAAAGGATTACAGTTGCTGTTCCCTCTGCCCTTACCTTCCTCCCAGAGAAATTAAGTGTTTCAGCAAGGTGCATCATAGAGCCCTGAGAGGAACAGAGCCGGTAAGGAGCAGTCAGGGTGTCGAGTGCTGCTGCCAAAATTGCACTGCTGTGGTAGTTAAGTGATGCCTATGGAGGGAGACAAAAGGAAGAGTTACATGACAAGTTAAATTCATCTGTTCCTTAACCAATTTTTGTAGATTTAACTTAAGCATATTGTAAATTGTGCTTTTTAGAGGTTGTGTTTAAGAGTTATTTCAGGTTTTGGATAAGCAAGTCAGCTGTTTGCTAACAAATGATCTGTGGCCAGTTTTCTTGTCAGCAGCTTCTTAGCGCTCAGACAAGGCTGGAGTTACACACACCGCACGTGAAGAAGAATGCAGTAAAGCATTTTTTTCAGTGGCGAAACTGAAGGCGCTACACCAACTGAAAGACTACCAAAAAGGAAATGTGTTAATATTTTTAAGAGTATGAAAAAACTATGGGAATGAAAAGTTGGCAGTTAAGTCTCTGCTAACAGTGAAAAAGCAGGAAAAAAAAATCTTTTCTGCTTAGCAGAACACCATAATGAAAAAACATTGCTAAAAATACATAGCTGCAGAAAAGGCTTTCAGAGAGTGGTAAATCTGAAAAAGCTGAAAGCCAGCCAAGGTAGGTGTTGTTTCTAGGTAAACCACTGTACAGTACATACATCATAGTTTATAAACGGAAACGTCACGGGAGGTTGTGGCTTGATTCCTAGACTCCCACTGAGAGACAGGGGGCAAAAGAGCGAGCTGTGACTGGAGAGATGGACAATTCCTAGGGCTGTGTTCATCAGTCTGTAAAAATTCTTCTGAAAATCCTGGGGGAAGAAAACCCAACCATTAGAATCTTAAAGATGCAAACAAGGAACGGTCTAATCCAGTTGGGCACGAAAGCGTCACCTTGTTCTTGTTTTTTCCCCACTGTTACTTACTCCCACGTGACTCATGACTGGAGTCAAGCCCCAGGTCAGGATTCCTTTTCCTGAATACTCGTCGTAGAGCAGTTCTGTCACTTTGGCACCAACTCCAGAGAATCCATTGTGTAGGTCACAGAGGACTTGAAATCCCTGTGGAAAATGATGGCGGCACCTGAGATTCTACTTAATCTTGAACAGAAAGTTTCTTGAAAGAAAAGGGAGTTTGGACTAAGCTGTCAAACCTGCAGATAATCACACTCTTCAACATAGAAGTGCAACCGATCTTCCAACTCCTCTATGCAGCCAGGATCCTGCAGGAGACTTTCACCTTGCCCAAAGGCTTCTAGACAACCACACTCCCTAAGAAAAAAAAAAGGGGGGAAAAAAGCTTATTCTATCCTCTCCTGATTTTTCCTTGAAGGCAAAACTACGACGCTGTTCTGGACAACAGATTTTGAACCAAACCTCTAGAACGTACCCATCATGCATGTACTGACGGATGACGTAGATGCTCTTAGGATGCAAGTGCACATTGAGGTAATCGGACCAGACCTGCACGCTGCCGCCTGAGTAAACTTCCTGGGAAACGGCGAGTCGCGAAGGGGTGGGAGAGGCACCTGCAACAAGATGGATGTGAAGAGTGGAGGGCTTTTCAACTCTGAACACCCCCTTGAATAAAGAAAACAAAACCAGCTTTTTATCTCGTCCAGTTTCTTAACCAATTTGCTGCTCTTTGACCCATCCTTCTGTAAGCAAAGAAATCACATCCCATAGTTTTCCCTCTCCCCTCACACTCGTTCACCGACAAGTTGTCCAGCATCAGCCTGCTGTCACAGGGCTTGTTCTACTTTTCTAGAACGCTTTGATCCCAGCAAGTAAAGCAAAGCCGTCAGGCCAGCGCAGACTGGACAGAACACAAACAAGCAACGCAGAGAGAACGCGCACACACCTCGAACCGAAGCGCTGGAACTTCCCTCTCCGTCGGAGGAAGCATCTTCCTAAGGGAAAAGCCCGGTGCGGTGGTTACGTGATGCTTCGCCTCATCCTTCCGTGTGTTGCCGGGCAGGAACTTAAATGCCACGAGTGAAGTCACCCCGCGAGGAGCCCGAGATCCACCCGCGGGGCCCGGGCCGCGCTCCGCC